GTGTCCTTCTTATCTCTCATGTGTCGTCGTTTTGTTCTCGCGCTATAACTATCATCATGTACTTTGACAATCCGGTATATATAGGCACCACTTTTTGACCGGCCGTGTTGTACCGGTAGGAGAGCTCTTTTTTGCATCGATTAACAACAACGGTTGAAGGAACAAGCGTAAACTTAGAGTCGGCTGCAGGTCGCTAAATGTCACACCGACCTTCTAATATAAATCTACCCGACCTCACCTTTTCGATTATTCAATAATTATTTGGCACACCGGGCTCTTGGCCCCACACGTGTTAGCACTGCTGATGTGCAAGTCCATAAAATATAATTAAGTACACACAAACCATGGCAGCTCAATGGTTTTCATTGAGTGACCGTACACAAACACAGTAGCAGCACGTATTCATGACAACGGGCGTAGAGGAGCGGTGCACGCCTGCATACAAGCTGCTTACTGACGGCGTGCTAGGCCTTTTCGAGGAGCACGGCTATGCGATGAAACACAGCTGGCGATCACAGAATACACATCCTCTGCGAATTTCGTCGTCATTTCAGACAAATGAACACGTGTCCGCTATCTGCGGAGTCTTACGGGGATGGGACGATGTATGTACTGCCAACGAAAGAGACGGCCCGTCTCGGTTTTCTTCGTGCTCACCGGCAGCCGCTTGTTGGTTCCGTCTGGCTCGTATCGGTGTTCGCCTTCGTGCTACATGTTTGAGAACAGTTGGCGCATGGGGCGGACAATACGAGCTGCACTTTACTCCAACAGACATCGTCTTCTGTGGAATCAAGTACATGCGATGCTTCATTCACCTGCCCCGGTGACACACTCCCACTGGTCACTGGTAGCCGCGGCTCGGTGCTGACGACAGAGTGAAGCGTTCTGCTTATCGATTCTCCAGGAAGCAACCACGGACGATGACACCAGATTGATTTTGTTACCACTGGCAGATCTTCGCGATCCGGCACGGAAGCGAAGTATCCGCGACGTACAGGTTCGAAGGTGCTCAAAACCGCACGGTCGCTCGATGATGTAGAAAACACGTGGCATACATCAGCTCAACCAAACACACAGATCCCGAGCTTCCTGCACCGTCTGTCTCCAAGGCCACCGCAGAGCAAAAGCTAACAATTTGCGAAAATATGCAGGACAACTTTCCACAGCAAGTTTTCTTTTTTTTTATAGAACCCCCCCCCCCCACCCCCTTTTTTTAGGGGCGAAGCTCCTTAGGGCGTGGGCTGTGCGTCCCCTGTAGCCTGTATGTAGCCACCTCTAGTTTAGTTCTTGCAGTGTTCACTAGATGGCGGTACCGTCCCCTGTATGTAACCACCTCTAGTTTAGTTCTTGCAGTGTTCACTAGATGGCAGTACCGTCTCCTGTATGTAGCCACCTCTCGTTTAGTTCTTGTAGTGTTTACTAGATGGTGGTACTTGTAGCTGATGATGAAAAGATGCAAGATGTTATAAACTAGAAAGCGGTACTTGTAGTTGATGAAAGACGCGAGATCTTATAAAATAGGAATGATGTCACATATGGCGCGTGTCATTGGTTGAAGGCAATCGTTCGATTTAGTGCGGCGACGTACGCTAGGGGGAGCGATGTAATAAAATCGAGTGGGCAAAATGTACAGAGGATTCATGGTTTACCAGGTTTACCTCCGGAGCTTCGCCCACTCATCATCATTCACTTCGTGGATATGGCGGAATTTTTTTTTCGTTGACAGAATGCTGTGCTCGCTCATCGTGCTTATTCGGTCCCCAGTTCCAGTGAAAGTGCGTTGACTCGAGGTCAGTCATGAGGCACGACGTTGCAAAAAAAGAAACACATCTGGGTCCTCGCGTACCTTCAGGATTCACTGAGAGTGTCACTATAGGGGGGGGGGGGGAATTATGGGGCAAAAGCCGCCGAAGCAGCTGCACCTTGCAGTCACGTGGTAATTAAATCTGAAACGCAGGTTAAAAATCACGGGATAGAAAACTCCCCACGGGGTTAAACTGGATTTTGACATCCTTTTACTACGTGCCTCAGAGGTGGTGGTAAAACTATGTCATGTACCATCTTTTACTCCAACTCGAGGTAGTAATTTTAAACGCGAGAGAGTATTCAGAGGTCATGAGCCGCAAAAACCCCAAACTCGGATAGTTTTTGCTTACAGCAATAAAGTGGCTGGGGGGATAGCCGCCGTGGTAGCTCAGTGTTAGAGCATCGAATGCATTATTCGAAGGTCGCAGGTTTGGTTCCTGCTCACGGCAAGTTATCTTTTCACTCACTTTTCTTTCTTCACATTTACATTACAATTGGTCTAATAACTTCCCCTATATATTCCTTGGCATTATTTTCTGTAAGATCTTTGTCAAAACACGGAAAAACGAGCCCTTAAGGTACAGTTCTTTAGTTCTTTCCCATATATATATATATATATATATATATATATATATATATATATATATATATATATATATATATATATATATATATAGAGAGAGAGAGAGAGAGAGAGAGAGAGAGAAATCAGCAGAGGAAATTACAAGGGACCCATCGGAATTCAAACCAGTGACCCTTCGCTCCTCAGCATGCTGCATTAACCAACTGGGATACGTGGCTGACAGTGTCTATCGCACCAACGGTGACCTTTGTTACACACCTTTTACCTCTGGCTTACTGTCAATCGACCTAAAACAACAATTCTCGAACAAAGCACGTGCTTTGTTTGGACAAGTCATACATGCTTTCCCTAAATATTGTCGTATCCTATGGCTTGATTATTGGAGAGGTGGGTTCACTGAAGCACACGCAGTTGCATGAATGGGGCATTTTAAAATGTCTACCAATCCAGTTTCACTCTGTAGCAACCGAAAACATTGCTCGCACCAAGTGCAGGACTATTCGGCAAGTTGCTGGTGCTGTCGTGCCTGTGAGTTTGGTTACCAATGAAATGCGCACCGCCACTATAACTTTAAATGCACCAACTCAACTCGCTGCCCTAGATGAGTTGTGGTGTTGCTTGCGACGTTAAAACATCACACGGCTTCATCATCACAACAGTGTAAATCTCACCAGGCTTCTTGCGGACTGACGTCATGAACTTCTTGCTGCACAACTTTCTTGTGATGTCTACAGGATGTGCCGTGACAGTCACTACAGACTTCCACATTAATCTACTTCGGCGTGAAAAACAGTGGCTTCTCACGTTTCTCAACACAGAACTTGAACTACGCCTCCTGTCGGAAGTCACGCAGTCCACTATTCAGAACACGTGTTTACATGTTGTCTTTACAGCATTACTGTCAATTCAAGGACAATCGGCCGTGTCACTACATTTAGTATGGTTCCTAAATCTCCCAGCCTTACTTCGTATAACACCCGCCATGGTCGTCTAGTGGCTAAGGCACTTAGCCACTAGACCACCATGGCGGCTGATGCTGCTGACCTGCTGGTCGTGGGATCAAATCCCCTCCAAGGCAGCCGCATTTTCGATGGATCAGGCGAAAATGCTTGAGACCCGTATGCCAAAATTTAGGCGCACGTTAAAGAAGCCACGGTAGTTGAAATTTCCGGAGCCCTCCACTACAGCTTCTCTCATAACCGAATGGTGGTTTGGGGAGGTTAAACCCCTACACTTAGTTATTACTTCGTATAGCTGCCCTATGTGTTGCTATCGCATTAATTGCTTCGGACTTGTGCCGAAACTGTAACTTTTTTCTGTGCACTTCATTCTGATTCACTGCATTGGCTTCGGGGGACTCATTGGGTTTAATGAACGCGGGTCTTCTAGTTTGTGCCATAGTTACTTGTTACACGGACTATGAACAAGTCGCAGTAGCTATTTTATCATTTTCTAATGCATTGTACTTGCCACAGTGTGCTGTTTTATGTTACACGTACGGACGCCAAAGGTAGCCGCCACGTCTACAATGTGTCAACATCTGTTTTTGTGCATTTAATTTTTTAGGAAGTGTCAATTTTTAAATCTAAACTATAGAGAAAAAACGAGCTTCTTGCAAGTACTTTTACACATACTTCCATACTTTCAAAGAAGGGCCTTTTGTAATTCGCTGTAGCTTTTTATAAACTGCTTGGTTTCCTGCATACACGAAAAATAGTTTTAATTAAACCATTCTTGTGCAATTAGAAGCAAACATAAAAACGCAATAACACGTCCTAGCTATTTTCAACTTGTTTCGCTTCACTTTATCCACTCGCTTTATCGCATTTAGTGTTGAAGTATTATGAAACACGGCTTCTAGAGCTTCTTTTGCTATGTAAACACGTAATGGCATATGGGTGATAACCCGACAATCCCTACATAATGAGCAGTAAGCTAAACGCTTGAAATACAGAAGAGAACTGATGGTTATGAAACTCTCTTCATCAAGCTCCTTTAATGATGTCCCAGAGATAGTAACTCTTAGTACATTGAAAAAGAAATAAGAATAATAATTTCACAATTTCACAATACTTAAGCGTTATACTGGTGCTACAACCTAAGCAAAAATGTAGGCACCGCTCATAAAACCATGACAAGGCTATCATTCACCTGTGATAGGCAATGCTGATAGCTAGTCCCCTCTTGAACTTTAAGTACTTTGTCCCGGTTCACGCATATGCTACACATATCAGTATTTAAAATTAATTCCTTATAACGAAAACATTACGTCAACGAGTTTACGAGTTTGCATTAGGTTCACAGCCTGAAACCAGCTACTAAAACGTGTGTCTTTGAGAGAGTCAATAGTCTGAATCACCCGACATCTACTTGACGTCATGCAATTGGGTAATCGTTGCTGGATGAAGCATGGTTTTGGGAGGTGTAAATCCAACAATGATTGATTCCTCTCTGTGGGTGGGACACCACTGCCTCCGGGTGGAGCTAACATTTTTATTCCTATGTAGTAAACTGCACCATAAATGAATGACATCATCCTGGCGACATCAAGACGCACTTCGTGCACCACCGTGCTCGTATCTTCATCCAGATACTCCGACGCGCCCAGGTCTGCCGGTGAGCAGCGCACCATACCCCATGGTCCGGCTGGTGCGCAAAGCCAGCACGCTGTCCAGTCAGCTCCACTCGCCGCTGCACCAAGGTGGTTCTATCTTGACCTCTCCGAAGCCCACCCGTCGTGCTCGAGCAACGTCACCCGAGAAAGCGGGCTCTCCCAAGCAGGACCCACTCGATAGTGGCCCCACATGCCTGCGACGGACGGGCAGTGGTGACGTCATCATAGGTGAGCGAGCCCTTTACCCCCTCGGTCTCCCATCGTTCGTATGCTTATGGTTATAAGTATGTTAACAGCAGTAACAACAACAAAGAGCCCTACCTTCTCTCGTGAAATTCATGAAGGTGCAAGTTGAGCGCACAGATTTTTGTTTAACGTATATGCTATGAACATGAAGCAGCACTACGACCAAGGTACCTTCCTTGACCTATGTGGATGGTTACCACAATAATTGGGTACGAAAATGAGCACGTCACGTCTGTCAGAGCAACCAATCAATCGCAGATACTCTGAAATGTTACTGTTTAGCTAAGGAGGACCAATTACATATTTGGTAGCCGAAAAGTAGCAGTGCAGCTAAGTTTATCGTCCTGAAAATCGAAGTTTTATTTAAGACAGTCATAAGACTAACTTGATGTTGAAAAGGCCGACCACCACCTGAAGGCATGTCTACACCCATCCCCGTATATGCTTATAAACACATAATTTAGGGTTGTTTAGGTAGTTTGTACAGTAATTACTGATTCATGCACCAGGAATGTGCATCCTCGCACGCATGCTACCTATCGTTTAGTACGGCCGGTTGTATAAGTGTTACGTTGCACGTGCAAGTCTATCATTTCGAGTGTTCTCTGAGAATAGAGTTTCCTGCTTGTATGTGATACACTGCAATTTAGTGCTTGTTACAGCTATGGTCTAGGTGAGCAAGCCCATGTAGGTGTATGATCGTCGAGTTCACACTGTTCAGAAGTATGTGCGTTGAAATTCGGTAAGGTTTAAAAGAATAAAAAAAGATTGCTACCCTAATCAGATGCGGGGATTGATTGATTCTACCACTTCACGAACTTCCCCTTTATTATAAGAGTGTGGCATCTCGATCGTACAACTACACTTAATTCCGCCTCTTGTCAAAAGCTTTCTGAGTACTGCCTCATATTTGTGGGCTGCGCCACGAAAAGAAACCTTTCCCTCAAGCCGGTTGGTGCTCTCACGATATTCGCCCTGTAATGGTTGCCCGCAGGTGAGGTTGTGCTTATGCAGCCTCGGCGCGCTTTAAGGGCGTCGGGTGAAGGTGCCTCCGACATGGTGCAAGTGGAGCTGGACTCCGTGCGGGAGTCTCCACCGCCGCGTAACGGACGAAGTGATGAAGAGGTACCGCTCTCCTGGTGAGCACAATAATCCTGCATGCACATGAAGCCGTACGCTAAATCAAGAAACGCTATTGAAGAAAATGTTTATATTAAACGAAATCTCACGCCGTCTTTAACGCATATTTGCCTTAGACGAGTCGGAGGCGAAAGCCGTCTTCTTTTGCTCAGTTGATTGCTGTGAACTCTGTATCCAACGTGGCTTTCTATTGCCTCCGAGATCAGGGACATGTGCCTTCGAGATCGACTTGCCTGTGGCCGAGCAACGACGATATGCGATCACGTCACCAGTTTCAAGTCGTGATGACGTCACTGATTTCTGTGACTTGGGAGGTCATCGCGATATCTTTTTGGCGACACTCGGCTAGAGGTCGATGATCACTTATCGCGTTTGGCAAATCCTCTAGAGTCTTCCCTTTAATAGGTTCCGAAGCTCAGTATGTAAAACGCCTTCATTTTAACGAGCTGAACAATGGATAAATTGGGGCTTCTGCTGCCAGCTGTGCAGAGTCTGCTACCGAAGCTTAGCCAAGCTTATCAAGAGCTCATTGAACTAGATATACTTATATAACGAGTCGCAATACCTTGTTTAAGTTCATTGCAGGCGTTTTTTTTCTCTCTCTCTTTCTCTCTTTCTCTCTCTCTCTTCCCGTTGTCGGCTCCAGTGAAGCCATCATTGGCGCATCCATAAGAGGGGGGAGGAGTTGAGGTGATCGCCTCCCCCTTCAGAATGTCTGTCAGCACCCCCCTCTCACTTCAGTGATTGTAGTCCACCTCCTATCCCCAACTGGACAAATGAGTGAAACCATTGTGAGCTCACATTTACAGTATTTATGTTATGAAGGGGTATTTCTGCTAGTAAACGAAGAATAGTCATCACCACGCCCCCCTGTCCAGTGTTACTTCAGACGACGGCCCCAACCCCTTAAAATGAGTGGCTGTATCTACCCCTGGACCACCAGCTGCCGCCAATATTATTGATAATCCTTTCAAAAAACGTTATAAAGAAGGCCATTGAAAGCTTCACGGCCGGACAACTTGGTGATCAAGATCGAAATTCGTGTATGTCTGTATAGTGGAGTTGATTCTCGAAAGAGCAGAACGAGACTACGGGCTGTGTAGTCTCATGCATCCATTTCTTCAAGATAATGTTTAACGACCCCTTTAGCCTACAAGGCCGCCGAAACTTAAGACCCAACAAGCGCGAAGTATAAATACATTTTTCTACGCCACCGCTAATCTCCATAATAGCTGAACGACAGGAGAACTATTCGCTTCTATAGCAATTTTTCTGAGAAACTCAACTGCCACTGACAGGGCGAGAGGTTAGCAATGAGCAGAAAGATAAGAACGTTTCAGCTGTTCATCGCGGAAACAATGTTTCATAGAGGCCTTCGACATAGATCCATTGCAGCCATCATGTCGGGTGACGACAGCATGATTATGACTGTTTTTTCTTCCTCGTTTATATGGTCGAAATGCAATGGCGGGAGGGCTAGTTGATTGGTCATTATACGGCAGTGTACACGAAGTGAAAAATGCAACAAACAACGTGTACGTTAACTTCTGTATGACATTTTGCTTCGCTGTCTTTCTGTTTTAGTGTCATATATGCTTTTTCACGTGTGTAAGTGTTCATGTCTATTTAGTGTTGCTGTCAAACGATATGATCATTTACATGACAAATATATCTCTGCAGCCAGCACGCTCTTGATTGGCGTGGCGCTACGCAGAGAAGAGGCAACCTGAGCTTATAAACTTAGAACACCAGAAAGTTGTATAGAGGGCATGAATTTGTTATAAAAGAATGTATGCGTGCGAACACAAACACGAGTGAAGGCATCCGAGACAGCAGAAACACCGACGTTTCTCTTCTCTCGCGCCTATCTTCGCGTGCTCATCTTAAACTTTTTGTCGAGATGAGGCACACTTAAAAGGAATAACAACCTGCCCTATGAGTTTGATGTGCTGCCGTTCTTGGAAGGCTGAGTGGAGGCCTACGCCAGCGTACCTATCCAATATTTCTCATTTTCTGTATCCCTCAATCTGTGGTTAAGGACAACCTGTGCATACATAACCCATCGCTGCCTTAAGCTCGGTTCTTCGCGCTGCGCAAAAGTAGCTTATGATATCACTTTCCTCAAAACAGAACGAATATAATAGAGCTTGCAGCTGGGCGAGTTTTTTTTTTTATATTTCAGCGTAAAGTGGTGTGCGCAAATAAAGGCAACGACACAGAAAAGATGGAAAAGCGCAAACTTTCAACTGAATTTTGCGCTTGTCCCAGTTCCATTTTTTTCTGCGTCCTTGTTTTTATCTACGCACACAGGTTTACCTTGAAACAGAACGAATGTTCACCGAACATCTGTGGCAGGTTTACTGTTATTATCGCGAACCTTTCCAACAAACCACGAAGAATGAAAGTTTTCGTGGAATGAAAAAAAAAAGGTTTTCTTCGTAACCAACGCTACCTGGACCTAATTACCGCTACATCGGCCTTCTTTCCAATTCAGCTCACGCTCAGCTTCTCGCGTGAGTGGCAACATATCATCAAGCTGGTTCACTCTTCTTTGCAGGTTTGGTAACCAAGGAAGTGATGCAGTGTGTGCAAACGAAAAACAACCAGTGCTGTACGCGTATAGTTAGTCGTTCACCTGTTCTTGTGCCCGACTGAGGATATGTTCTCACTGAAGAGCCTAGTGCTGGGTCGGGCTTGGTTTTATTGCTTGTTCCACACGTGTCAGAGATACAAAACAGCCTCCTACACCGAGGAAAAACTTAAGAAACTCGCCTCGCGTTGTAGCTAGGTCTCGAGCATCGACTGGAAAAGAGAAAAGAGAAGCGAGTACCTTCCAGTCAGCAAGGTACTTGAGACCGCTTCATCGAGCGCGTTGCTGGTTCTTTGATGTGAAGTGCATGGGTTGAAGAAAGGAAGAGGGGTAGAGGTGTATAGGCCTTCCTTGTAGCTTGCCTGGAGAGGAAAGGAGCTACGTTCGAAATACGGTTACTCTAAAAGAAAAGGTTCATCAATGAAAAAGCTGCGACAAGTATTAGGTCACAAAATTAAGAGGCTCGGGATATCGCATGGAACGGTGCGCCCAAAACTTTCGTTTCTGGAAGGATTGGAGGTGAAAGCTGAGGTCTAAGACGGTACACCCAGTCTGTGCAAAGAAAAAATTGTAGTAAGCCAAGCTAGGTAAAGCACTTAGTGACTCTTGCTGTTACCTCGAGTGTCTTTAGCACACGATTCTTATACGAAAGGACTCTATTGTATTTTATCACCTCGCTGTGGATCGGCGCTGCTTATGACAGTCTGATGCCATGAGCGCTCATATGAGAATTCTTGTTTTGCAATATTCAATTCACACATATCTTATAATATGTAGGTACCTATACTGTTGCACTCTATTCAAACTTCATTTCGTAACACTTTGCTGAAAGATTGTTACGATTTCGTGCTATGGCGATGACGTTCTACGGAACATTACCTTACTCGCTTCGTCTTGTAGGATAAAGAGAGGAACGACAGCTGGCAAGGTAGCCGCACTCGTGTTCGTCACAATACTGTGGCTCATGCTGGTCGCTGGAGCGAGCACCTACTACTTTATTGGTGAGCCATAAAAATCGCATTATATAACTGTACCGTCATTAGTTTATTTTTTTTTTCAATAAATGCGTAATGTTACTGCCACGATTTTCGAACGCTTAGATACTCTCCTCAAGAAAGTGGAAATGATTTTAATTTTTAAACGAATCTGGAGTTGTGATTTATTTAACATGGCAATGGTTTTTTTTTTTTTGATGTTGAAATCAAAGCACAAAATAATTGAATTTGTACCGACTGCGTGCAATGCTACGTATTTTTAACCAGATGTAAGGCTAAAGAGCCTGAACTCATTCTGTAAGCGTCAGTTGTTCGCAGCTACTTCGAGTACGACGCGGTTAACTTGAAGTCACACGTAGCCAATTGTGATCGATCAAAATTTGTACACCCCGGATGACTTCCATAGTCAAACACGTTAGAGCATGGCGAAGGATCACAACTTCCATGGTGCACCATAGTGAGTGAGTGAGTGAATTAGTGAGCAATCGATCGAAACAGCTTTATTCTGTCTGGACGTCACTCGACTGATAAGAGGTTGAGATAAATGCAGTCAGTTCCACGGTGGGACCACTACAAGGTGGAGCAGATCTGAGCCTTCGCCTGCCTCTGCTGACGCTTGGATTGTGATCGTCTGAGCCGAAGCTGCGGGTTCACCTGGCTGTTTTCGAGCTGAGCTTGCGCTTGACTCTTCTGAAGCGGACGGTCACCTCGCATTCGATAGTGTTTCGCAACCACTCCTCTCTCCCGTAGATCTGCGTCTAACTTCGGCGCTGGCGTCTCGCAACCACTTCACTTGAATCAAACAGGCGTATGAGCCCTTCGGTGACGCTCCCTCTCTGGACGTATTTGGGCATGTAACTTTAACTTTCGCGCTCTTTTTTGCAACATTTTAATATTGTAGGTGGAGCTTTAGCACCCTCTTTTTACTCATTTCGGCATTTTGAGCGTGACACCAAGCGATGACAATTCGGGCTCCTAGAGGGCTCCACACTTGAAAGAAAAAGGAAAGCGCTGCTTTATTAGCCGCTTCACTGTTATTCTTACTGTTAGCCACACTGGAACAAATCTGAAAACACAATACTAACTTTCCTTGTTATTAACACTACATAGCTTGCATGGGTTTCAATTCCTCTTCGCCTCAAAGGAAATGAAAGTTGATAATAGTAATAATAATTATTGTCATCTTGCGTAGTACATCCAAGGCCGCTGGATGAAAGAACACACGGGTGTGGCTTGTTCATCCAGCGGCCGTGGTACACCAAAGATAACAGGCCAGTCAAAAACAGAAGTGGGGCTCAGGACTAGGCTCGGCATATCGGCAAACGAAAGATTACGCGAAAATTGAAAAGCTTGTCACTCTATAAAACAAAAAAAGACATGTAGCTCTTTTAGAATATATTTAGACAGAATAACGTGAACAAACTATAAGGAACAATATTACTGTTTAAAAAACTGAACGTGATAAGAAGGATTTAGTACATTTCAACAAGCCGTGGCCCGCACGAAAGCAGCTATAAAAAACAGCAGTACGGTAATAGTAGTGGTAGTAGTAATAAAGTAGTAATATTATTTATAATAATACTTATATTGATGATGATGATGATGATGATGATGATGATGATGATGATGACGACGACGACGACGACCAGTGACGGGACCATATGAACGCAGTACTTCTAAACAAATAGCCTTGGTAAACATTTGGAGTCTTGGAAATGCAAACGCACTGCTTATCTAGGTCAGCCTTCTGAATTAACACGCTCGTCGTGCTAGCTTATAGCGGCTGAGTTGCGGCGGTGCTAAGTTCAAGGATGTTGTTTCAAATTCCAAAACCAATAACAGACCACAAGTGCATTTTCTGAAATTGATCGTAATTTTTTGTGCGCTTCTCGCATATTCAAGGGCGGCACTAAGCCAGTACCGATGTTAGGAATTCTATATAAGGTATTGTAATATTTTGCGTTGGTTCACCCGGGATCACCGCCCTGACATATTCGAAATTGTTGTGAATTCATAAAAAAAACAGCACAAATGGTGGACGTCCTAAGACTGTAAAAATAACATGATGTAGTTGTCAAAAAGTGATAGGCGAGAGCGTGGCGCTCATGTTCTGCCGGCGAACGTGTGTGCCAGCCGAAACGATCACGGGAACAAAACGCGTCATTGAATCATAATGTCATTCACCTCTTCCGTACTGAAAACTACACTGGTTCGCCGAAGCATGCCCTGCCATAAAGTTTTAGGTTTGTTTCCCGCCGGCCAACTCTTTTGTTTTTCTTGTACTTTTCTGTATTTCATTAAACGGGAAAAAAAGTCAGTTTCACAGCAAGGGCGAAGCTGTGAACGAGATACCAGCAATTTGTAATGTCACACGAATAAAGGCAAGCAGCTTGAAACTTTCAGCACACTACTCAAACAAAAAAAATGGCTTCGCATCTGCATGTTTCGCTGCAAATGTCGTCGAAAAACGATAGTCTTGCGTCTGGAGAGAGTGAACACGTACATTTGATGTTCTGCACGAGAAAGTCGATAAATTGTATTCTGGAGGCGCTGCGTAAGAGAGTCTCGATCCGTGCAGCGAAGGCAAAGAAGCGCATCAAGGCACGTTAGACACGAGTGCTATCTGGCAGTTGTCTTCGAAAACGAAGGAAGGCGTGCGTGCCTGTCTCATAGGCGATAAGAAGTAGAACGCAAAGCGACGGGCAGGTGCCACCACCGTGTCATCTTAGCAAAGCGCTGGAAACACTTGCCTTTTTTAGCATCGCGTTGCATTGTCAGCGCAGAGTGTTAAACGCTACGGCCCTTAGAATTACTTATGTATGCCTTCTTTGGTATGAAAACACACATACAAAATATTGACGTGTTGTTATGGTGTCTCAGATATGCGCAATAATTGTTTTTTACTTGACAATTGCACAAGTATGAACGCTGAACCTGATCAATTTTGTGGGCGCGGCGGATGGGGTTAACCGTTTGGAATATCATTTTGGGCCGTTTGGGGTATTGCTACGGCTGGCAGGCAGGCAGGCGGGGCAGGGCAGGGCAGGGCAGGGCAGGGCAGGGCAGGGCAGGCCAAAACTTTTGCGTCGAAGTACCTTGAAAGGACGCACTAAAAGTAGACGCTTTATGAGCGCGAACTTATGCAATTGTCGCAGCTCGACATTTGCAGCACGCTGCTGAAACACAAGACAGGACGCACAAAAAGAACGCACGTGTGTACGCGAACTTACAACTATCATAGTTCTTACTTCAACTACTCCGCCATGGTATAAAAGGAGTTACAGTGCTCGGCTGCCGTCGTCAATATCACAGGTTCGATCCGGGCAGCTGCTGTCGCATTTCGATGGAGGCGAAAAGCTAGAGTTCCGTCTAACGTGCGTTATCACTGCACGTTAAAGAACAACAGATGGTCGAAATTTCCAGAGCCCTCCGCCACAGCGTTTCATATTCGTATCGTGTTTTTAGCAAATAAAACCTCACAAATCATCACTCATCTAGCCTTACTTTGGCTCTTCTAGCTAGCTATTCGTTGCCCCACCATGGTGGTCTAGTGGCTAAGGTACTCGGCTGCTGACCCGAAGGTCGCAGGATCGAATCTCGGCTGCGGTGGCTGCATTTCCGATGGAGGCTGAAATGTTGCAGGCCCGTGTGCTCAGATTTCGGTGCACGTTAAAGAACTCCAGGTAGTCGAAATTTCCGGAGCCTTCCACTACGACGTCGCTCATAATCATAGCGTGGTTTCGGGACGTTAAACCCCACAAATCAATCAATTAGCTAGCTACTCGATCCTTTCGCGAGCGCAGACGCTGCAGCGAACCGAATGAACTTCGTGCGTCGATGTCAACTTCGCGGTATAAAAGCGCAAGACGTACAAACTTTCCACCTCACGAAATGGGCACACAAGCACGGGCGATCACGTTTTGTATGTCTAAGTACAAGTTGGGAAACGAACCTCCCAACTACTAGCGGGGTGACGACATTAAGACCCGACCTTGGCGCCATCATTCGTGATGCTGAACATGCTCAAACATTTACGAGCTCTGCGTATCGTATAGTGGTGTCAACGCCTCCTAGATTTCCCGTGCCTGCCGGATTATCAGCGGTCACTTGGGAAGCGGTGGTCGTCGGAACTAAGGTGGTGGCGCCACTCAAATAGAGGTGTCTTTAAATAGGTGTTTACGTTTTTGGAGCTTTTATGCAATATAAATAACGTAAAAAGTTTTTAAAAGGCGTAGACGTAAATTTAATTAACCCTACGTAAGTGACGCCGTCATTCGGCAGGCAACTTTTTCAATACAAGGCATCCTCTGAAATTAGTAGCAAACGCCAAAATTGCCGATATTTGAGATCGGCAAAGGCCAAGTACAAGGACTCTTATTCCTAGGTAGGCAGCGCCCATAGATGACCGGCGTTTCGCGCTCATCCGGCAGGCACGGGAAATCTAGGAGGCATTGGTGGAGTAAATAAATGGCTCCCTCGAGGGCGTGTGCTGCATGTCTAACGCATTGCGCCGAGGAGTGAGTAGTCACACTTTAGAATGTTCCATACGTAATTTGAAATATGTTTATGTCGAACCATTTTTCTGGCGATATTATAGTACATACTGAACAGACAGGACGTCTAGTGCAATGGCAAAAAGTTTCTAGAGTGTCCAAGAACTTCCTATGGCAATAGATATTGCAAGAACGTTTTGCAAAACTGCTCGATTCACGCTTTTAGGAGCATTTGGCTTTCACGATGTCCGACCGTTGTCGTCGAGGCTCGCTGTCGTCTTAGTCGAAGTGCAGGTGCAAAACATTAGTATACACTACCGTCTACAGAGCATACATAGCGCGCATATAGTTCAAAAGCGACCATACTCTGCCCGTGCAACTGCACGTCCGTCCATCTGTTGAGCAACTTCAACGTAGGCATTAAGGGTCCTATAGGACCTAGCTTCGCTTCATCACCAGCATTCACTTAGTGGATCTGCAATCATATTTTTTTACACAATAGTGTTTTATGCCGGGGCCCACCACGGCTTTCTCACGTACTTCCGTAACGGAAGTGACGTTGAAGGTCGTTGCTTCCACGAAGCGCCGCCTTCATGGATCATGGTCTCTTCTGCGCGCGTGCTTATCATATTTGTATTTTGGGAGAGAACGAAGGTCACTTCACTTGCTGCCGCGGCCGCGTTTACAAAAGGAGCGGGCTGCTGACACACGACGAAGTAAGAATTGTGGCATTTGTTCACGCTTCTTTTGTGTATACTTATGCGCTCGTTTCGTGTGTCTTTCTTTCTGTTTGAACAGCGCGCTTTAAGTTTCGAACAGCATACACAGTCTGCGTTCGTCCTGTGCATGCCAACTTCATGCGGGCGTTCTGTTTGAAGTGTGCGCTGCACGAGCTGCTTGCCATTCGTAACATGATTTTGCAATTTATTACTGTTGCTGAAACAGTGTACAATAAAACTTGACTACCTCTGTGAAGACACGTTTCAATTTCGTGTTATATCGATTTCTAAAAAGAGGGATCAGGCAAATCTTTTTTTTTCTTATTATCGTCGTTCATTTCTTCCAGAGTCCGAGTTAAACGATACATCACCAAGGCAAGGCGCTGCACGGCTATTAAGTAATGGGCTGGAAGCAATTTACAACGCAACACATCATCACTGAAGTCTATAAAGTCACTTGTCTTTTTTTTTCTTGTGTGTAGTCTTCTTTTATTGTTAACAACCACAAAGGGAACAGTGATTTGTACTGTTAACGAACATGAGCAACGGTCGATTTTCGGAGAAAAAAAAGAGGCACACAAGCATATATGAGCACCATCAACGACAGTCGAGTACCTTTTGTACAAAAATTCACCAACGATTACCACACTCGCTAATGCGAATTCCAAGCGCAACTTAGTGTTGAGGCAATGTCAATCGTGTTTGAAGTTCTAGCTATTCGCAGTTGTAGAAATGTAACCTTCGTGACATGTTGCTTCGGAAACTGCCAGCGCTTGAGTGCTACACACACCACTCTGTGCATTTCAGGTGTCACGAACCAAGCGAAGCTAACCGCTGTGCACGTCCATGTGAAATACGAAGCACTCTCAGTTTACACTGCTTTTGCGTGAACTTTAAGAAAATTAAAGAATTATGTAATCAGTCTGAAAAACCGAATAGGAAAGTAAAGTTGCCTTCGTTTTTTTTTTTCGTGGAGGAAAACACAAACAGCGTCAAAGAAGTCGCCTGTGGACTAAATCCACAGCCGAAGCACCGAAGGTAAATGTATATTAGCTATTGTTGTGTCTAAACACAGCTCAGCGAACGGGGTATTAGGAAGCCTTTTTTATCGTACAACATAGCGGTGACATGATAAGGAATAATGCTATGTTGGTGCTACCTCAAAACATAATTGTCTTGAGGGTGATATTGCGCAGATTAACCCTCTGTGAATATACTGAGATGTAACGTGGGCACATGACACCGTATACTTTTGTCATTGCAAATGTCTGGTGTCAAACCACTGGATCTCCCACGAAAATTTGAAATGACAAAATTATCTCCAGGCAGGGCCGAGGCGTAAGCAGAGAGTTTTCGGTGGGAAAGGGCGGGAAAAGAGGTGCTATCCTTTATCTGAAGTGGGAGCCGGGCAAACCGATGTGTTTTTTAGCGCTGTGTCCGCTATTAATGAACGAATGCACTTTATTAGGTCTTTTGGAACACGCTAGGCGAAAAAAAAAGAGGGGGGGGGGGGGGGCATAGGCCCAAAGTGCCAACTTCTGGCTGGCACTTCGGGCCTGTGCATTACGGACTGAAATTAACAGCCTATACATTATTTCTCGCGCTGGTGAGTCGGCCATTTTCTTTGCAAGTGATCCACAGTGGCCTGGTACCCATAATAACCTTAAGAGTTTCAGCTGCGGAGGAACGCAAGAGGGACGTCTTTTGGGGTGTAGATTTTGATGAAGCTTTAAGTGACGTACAAACTGAAAGGGTGTCTGTTTTTATTGCCGCGCAATGGGTATTCATAGTTGGCTTGCACATCGCTAGAACCAAGAGTGCAGTTTCAAAAAACAGGGCTGAACCCTTCTAGATTTGATGGATATGAACAGCCTAGCCAAATAGAGTAAATACCCACGCCTGCCTTTTTGTTCAATTACTGAAGTGCGTGTGCCTATTATATAGAGGCCCAATTCGTTTCCACGAGTGTAAGGCCAACTTGCATCCGGCTGTTTCAAATTCCGGTGGATTGAGATTTGAGCTTTGAGGGGAAATTTGCATCGCATTTTATGATATTATTATGATTTGAGACCTATGATTCTATCAGATCTCGAATTTTCACATTTAGTTGGTCTTGTTGCTTCTGAACAAAGAATTATCTGTGGCACGCGAGAACAAGGTCAACTAACAAGAAGAAAAGAACCTGGATCGCTAATCAAAGCTGTGAAATTGCTACACTTAATGAGAGCTGCTAGACTATACTGTAGAGGGCCATGCTATGATTTGCTAGTTAGTCTTGTTATCCATGTCGTTATGAAGGTCAACTTCGCATCGAGGGTATGGGGATTCAAATGGTGATGATGATAATGGGTGTGGCCTAAGAGCATAGCGCACACCTCTTGTGGATTCACCAAGAAACGAGTAATTAGATAGAGGGGCTCAGATATTTGTATGTTTAAGGAGTTATAAAATGGTTAAACGAAAACAAATTGTGCTATTTGAGAGATATGCGATCAAAGCTGACTGGATTCGAATGCAGTGTCATGATTAATTTTTCGCGTTCTGTTTATTCATATCTCTCCATGGTCGGTCTATCGCCCATCGGGGTTATTACGCGCCACGTCGCATTGTTGAGTCGTGGGATTTGCCCAAATTTTTTGGCGCATACCCGTTCATAGCGGTGATAGTTACAGGGTCGAGGCCTTAACGGCAGCTTAAACAGCTTCATTGATAGTAGAAGATGGCTTTCACCTTCGAGTCATCTAAAGCGCAGTGCATATTGGGCCCTGGAAGTTTTTTTTTTTTTATGCCTTACTAGGAACTACAGTCAGGCCGTAATTGACTGCAGAAAGTACGTTGTGTGTAGTGGGTAAGAATCATCATTTTCGGGTGACAAGAACAAGAATATGGCGTCGAACACCAAGCCTCCGCAGGATGTTAAAAGACGGGATGAAACACGACTTCTCCGCCGAGATGCTGGCAGGGGACGTTCTATGGGAGGCAAGCGTCCCAGCTGCTCTCTTTCCGACTCGATCAGCATGGAAGAACCTAAGTGAGTACCTAATGGCGTCAACACTTTGCAGTCGCGGTCTTGTTCCAAGCTGAGGTTTGCGCGGTCCCCAGAAGCTCGATCACGCGTCTATGTCAAATGCTAACGCATTTTTTTTTTGTTTCTCGTGAGAGTGCAAATGTTTCTGTGTTTGGGCCATTATAGTTGACACCTGGCCAGTTTCCCACCACACAAAGTTCCCCATCATCAACTGCAGGCGGAAACTGCAATCGCATGTTCAGGTCTCTCATCAAGCGCAAATATTCACCGTCCGCGCCAGCACGAGTGACGCTTAAGATCGCGTGAAGACATCACTATATTACGTCATCATGGCGTCACAAGTCACACAAGCTTACCCCTATGAATAAATTTATTGCAGCGAAGGTAATGCAATTTTAAACGTATAAGTAACTCCTTAACGTAGTACATTATATTTCAGTCATGTGAGGCATTCAAACCGCAATCCATTTATCACCGCTTTCTATAGTTTTCATGTAGCTTACATGTATAATAGAGGACGTTTTGCAACCACCCTGCATATGACCCCCTTTCTCGGCGCCACTTCATTGTCTTTAAATTGGGTGGTAGCTGGTGTGATTTGTAAACCCCAGCATGCAAGTTTGAACTGTCGGGGTTATGGAGGATTTGGGCAGTTTTTTGGCAGGCTACCAAAATATTTAGCCGTCAGTAACAAGTTTCGCTAAAAAACGAGCTGTATTACATGTACGGCAGGGCAGGTGTCAGACGCTTGTCAGTGGGATAACGAGTTAATAATAATGGCGATATTTCAATCGTGGATGACACTTCGATAATTTAGTGAATGCAGCTTCTGTTGGTCTCAGAAGATGGTAGCAGTACTGAATTGATACAGTCAAGAGGCATGCATATTGATACAGAGCAATGATAAGCTGCATGAGCAAAAAGAAACATACGAATGCAACACTCAATTCCACGTCATGGTCACTCTAAGCTGGTGATTTGGAGAGTCTCGTATATCAAGTCGAGTGCTCGCATATGTTGCCTTGATTTGTTTTTTTGTTTTTACGTTCATTGAAATAGTAAACATTGTGTCCTGTTTTATAATTTTTTTTTAGATGGCATTTTGTGGACGCACACACTCTCGGCAGGTTTTTACATTTTTGATGTCGCCCGTCACCGTAGACACACACACACACACATATATATATATATATATATATATATATATATATATATATATATATATATATATATATATATATATAGAGAGAGAGAGAGAGAGAGAGAGAGAGAGAGAGAGAGAGAGAGAGAAAGAGAGATCACATTGAAAAATAATTCGAAAGATATTTACCGACGCGCGAAATCAAACGGATGACTTCTCGCTCTACTGCGCGAGGCGTTAAGCGGCACGCCGATCTTAGCTTGTCAGCGTGTTCCTTGCATTTTCAGCGAGATGGTTCGAAGGCTGGCGCCACGTTCGTGGCGTTGCGTGCGCTCGTCTCTCACGTTTACTTTGGCCTACGGTGCGTTATCATCCGTGAGGCGCCTGCTTATCTCGTGATGGGAGCTGTTCATACGTCTTGTGCTTAAAGGTTTCGTTGATGTTAAAAATGCATGAAGGTCACTTCGTTTGCTGTAGCGGTCCTTTTTGCGAAAGGAGCACGGTGTTTCAAACGCAGCGAAGCAAGAACTTCGACAGTTGTCAGTTCCCACTTATCTTGTACACAACTGTGCGGACGTTTCATGCGTTCTTCGATGGGTTTAAGGAGCACGCTTCAAGTGTCGAGCTGTGAACGTTGTTAGCTGGCGCTCGTCCAGTGAGTGTTTTTTTTTTTTTCGCAGGTCCGTTGTGTTTGAGCAGCGCACTGCACACTAGCGGTTCTTCGCATGAAATTCCAGTTCGTTGCTATCGCATTCATTGCTTCGCACTTGCGGTGAAAGTTTCCGCTCGTTCCTTGGCACAAGAGTTTTTTTTTTAATTTTTGTGCAAACCACAGCGAGCAGAGTTACATCAAGGAAGGTCGGCCGGACAACAAGCCCATCAAAGTGTGCCACAAGAGGACGCAATACGACATGGATCAGTGAGTTTTTTTTTTTTTTTGGCACGTGGCGTCTACAGCATTCATAAATTATTGCCAATACCATTAGTTATGCAGCGTCTTCTACGACATATATTGTTATAATTGCCTGATCATGCTTCATATCTCGTCAACTCTTGCGTACACTTTGACAGAGGGTGGAGTGGCGTAGTTCTCTGTGATACCTTGTGAGCGCCGGAACATGAGCGCCAGTATGCACTTCGCACTCGCATGTAATCAACGGAAGCCACCATGGGAAACAGAGACTTTGCAGTGGGATCTGTGGGACCACCATGTATATAGGGAACATATTTGTGGGACCTATACTATGGCCAGTTGCTCGAAATATCGGCTTACCTCGTATTCGTAAACAGCTTTTTTTTT